CAAAGTGCATATTGTATAATAGTCAACTTTAAGAAACGTGAACATTTACATAGAAAATTCTTTCTTAAAAGTTTTCCAACATTTCTCAACTCTTTTTCTGCTGTTTTTTGTCAACAATACATCAATACAAAATTGGTATCTTGTTCCTGTAATTTCTGATTACTTTTGGTTAAATTTATTTTCCAGTTTATTAGACAAGACTTTCTTCTGACAATTTTTTTTACTAATTATTTGCTCATTTCTTACCTAATGGAATTGATTTTTATTTCTTTCTTACTCATTTCAACAAACACTGTATATATTAAGTTATTAGCAATTATTCATGGTGATCTTTAGAATGTATTAGATACTATAAAGGATATTAATCTTTTGCTTATATATATAACCTGCCACTCTGATGCATTTTTCTTTTCTCTTTGCCCTTCTAGCTAGCCTACTACCTGTCTGACTTTCAGGGCCATTAAACTAGAAGAGTATAAGGAGTAGGTTTTCCTCCCACCACTATTCTTGTCCTGCCGCCGCACCAGCCCCAAATAACACACAGAGACTCTGTATTTGATATAATGCAGTTGGCCAGGTACTAGTTTCTTATCGGCTACCTCTGTCTTAAGTATTAGCCCATTTCTGTTAATCTGTGTATTTCCACGTGGTCTCATCTTACCGGAGAGCCGGCTGGCATCCTGCTCTCTCCAGACTCCATCTTGACTCCTCCTTACTACTTCCTCATTCCTCCTTGTCTCCTAGTCCCACCTGTCTTGCTTTCCTATTGGCCAACAGTGCTTTATTCATTACCCAGTATGAGAAACATATTTACAGAATGACATCTCCCATCAGAAGGGCGTAAGGAGTGTGGAGTTATCTGTTTGAGTAGGGCTTTTGTTAACTTTATTTTAGGAGAGAAATACTCACTTGATATGTATGAAGGGTTAGGGGAGGGTCCTGACTCTCCCAGATTCATGAGGTAACTTGTCCTTCAGAGGCATAAGTAATGACTGACTATATTCCAATGAAAACAAAGTTTATAAAAATGAACTTAATGTTTTTGGTGCTTTAGTTATTCAATATTTAATAACTGATCACACACTTTGTTTTCAAAGCCATATGTTTAGCATCTATTAACATGGTTTCTGACGACTTACAAAAAAGTACCAAGATGAATGGAAAAAAAAGTTGCATGAATGGTTAAGAATAAAAAATTGCAATGAATGTTAATTCACATTAAAAATATACATTATTAGTTATCAACTCTCTCTCTCTCTTTCTCTCTCTCTCTCTCTCTATATATATATATATGTTTCCAGCTATTATTTATGTCACATCCTAAAACAAAACATTTTTATTAGCAAATATTATCCTATACTAATTTATTTTGCATATTATTAGAACAAATAAGTAATTACACCTGAAAGAGTGCTCAATAATTAACATGGAAAAGCCTGTGGCTAAGAGATAAGTCAAAATAATATAATATAATGAAAAGTGGCAGAGTTTGAGAATGTCCTTTTTTCTTTCAAGAGGACACTTGGGTCGCCAGCCCTTTCACATCTGCAGAGGAAAGAGAAGCAATTGTTTAAGAAACAGTGGATTCCTGTGCCTACATCCCAAGCATAATGTTTACATTTCTCTTTCCTCTAATATGATTATTATATATACCCTGCTTGGCCAGTCATATCTTTCCCTAAAATTTTCTTACTCTGATTACACCCACAGTTTATCTTAGTGCTGACCCAAATTGAAAAGAATGAAGTGATTTTATGATTTGTGTGTATTTATTTAGAACCACTAGACATCTTGCTTGAGGTAATCATAAAGATGAAGGAGTTTAAAATTCTCCTTCGTTCTTAATATAATTAGAGAAAAGTTTTAGAAGTGTCATGCTACCAAATTGATAGTTACAAATTATATTAAGAAAAAAGAAAGAGTATCATTGTTAACTAGGGAAAAAATTAAATTGCCTTTTATAAAATTAAGAGCATTCACTTCTGTAATTATTGTTATAGTTCTTATTTGTTACTGTTTTAACTGTTTTTTCTCAATTACCAACATATTGTCTCTTTTTTACTTTTTGCTTTTTCAGCTCATGAATAAACTCAAAGCAAGGACTTTTATATTACCTGACACTAATTTTAAGGTTAAATATGATAGGTTCTATCAGTTTAAATATTTAGTTTAGATCTTTAATGCATCTTTCTTTGGGCAAGTTCTAGCTCTGGAAGCCAGAAAAACACATCTTGTTACACAAAAGGGGGAGGATTTGACAACCAAGACAATCAATGTTTATGTAAACCAATAAATAAATAAATAAATAAATAAAAGTGTGTCAAAGTCATCAACATTTACATAAACATTGAATAAAATGTACAAAATGTGATAGGACCACATATAAATTAGAATCTATTGCCTCTACTTGAAATCTATAGTGCATTGTTTTTAACTTGTGCCTTTACTTTAATCCAAGAAGACAGTAGGCATAATTTTATATAATAGTTTTCACTATAACGGACACATACATCATCTAATATAATAAGATCAACTTACAATATGCTGGAATTTTCAAAACACTCCCACTGACAGTCTGTCATTTATTTTCCCGCCACCTCTCCCACATCTGTGTCTTTTGCATCTATTTTCTTAACTGTGCTTAGAAAAATCAGCAACTCAAGTGTGGGCTCAGTGGGTTTCGTTAATAAAATAAAGATCTTAGAGGTTTCTAATCCTTTTGCTCAATGTCCTTTGGCACTGCTCATACCTCATGTTTTGAGAACAATTGTCAAATTAATGACTAAATATCATTAATAAATGCATCTTTTAATATATGTTATTGTAGCAGTTAGTTTTCCTACTTATGTAAATCCAGATTCATTTCACTATTATTCTACAAAAAATATTAACTTGTTTGAAAGTAGCAAGATGAAGCAGAAGTCTTTGTGTATACAGTGTCGTGGACACTGCATCAGAAAACTTAAGCCACTGTGCACTTAGCATGAACTCATCGCTTATACACATAGTTGACTAAAAGGTCCTTCATTACACATGCACAAAGAATTTTATTTGTAGACAAATTTCTAATGTATGATAAATGCCAGCTAATCTTGAGTAATGACATATAAAATATGGCTAGTTTGAAGTGTAGTCTTAACATTTGACTAGACATGAAATCTAGATATGTTGTAGGCTTGTGTTGGGTATCTGGAGTGATTTATTAGATACATGCTTTAATAATGCATGCTAAACACATGGACATGTTTCTCTAAATCCCACTGAGTGTGTACAGACAAGTTTTTAACTGTAAGCACTTACTCTAAAAGCTGAGTAAAGTTAACAAGGGCCACCCAGGGAAGGCAATATTCTCAAGGACCTGTTTCGATGTTTACTTCCAACACCTCCCCTAACACCACCAAAAAGAATGTCTCCAGCTAAAGACATGTCAATCCCATTTTTAAAGATTGATTGGGTAGCTGAGCTTTCCTTCTTTTTATCCTTGGAGAAAATGAAAAATAACAAGTCCTCTTCTACTTTAGACTAACCATTCATATACTTCATGACAGTTACTTCTCCCCTGAGCCTTCTCTTCTGGACAAATTTTGCTAACTCCTTCAGTCTATCCTCCCAGGTCCTATTTTTCAACCATTAAATCTTCTTACTGTTCTTTCTTGTATCTTTTTCAGTTCTTTAAGCCTTTTTAGAAATAAGAAGTTTTAAATTGTGTATCTTTGCATATATAAAACACATTGGAACTTCTGGGGTGTATTTATTTCCAGCTCTTAAGTCAGAGATAGCCACCATAAGTAAGACGGATAAGAAGAAAAAGAGAAGCCAAATGAGTTATTTAATAACTTACTGTAACGGACTTATAAGGTAAGAAATAGTAAAGTCTATGCCCAGAAAAAAATCAGAAGGGGTCAATATTAGTGATTTGGGAAGATACCAAACCACAAAATTTGTTTTGAAAACAATAGGAGTCACTTTTGCTTCATCTTTAAATAACTTGATGCTGTTTTAAAACTAATTATCCATCTGTCAAGGAAAAGATTGCTAGGTGAGATAACATAAATTTAAACTACATAGATATGTGTGTGTACACACATACATACACACACACACACACACACACATATATATCCTAAGAAATAGCTACTTAAACCTCATCAAAGAGTACATCAATTCACCATTATAGTGACTGATGACAAGAGCTACAACCACCCTCTTCCCCAAGCACATGTGAATGCCAATGGGATATTTGTGGACTGTTAGTGAAGTATTTTCTCTCCTTTGATAGAGCATGACCACTAAGAAGAGTGTGATTGCATGATCCTTGCTGATAGTGTTCTGAGGGAATCATTGCTTTGTAACATCTTCCCTATGGCACTATGGTGATTTCAGATAACTAAGATACATAATTTTCTCAACCATTCCATTTTACAAGGGGAAAGAAATGAACCCATAATCTTACATGCATGCCACTTCCTCATCTATAGCAATTTCTGTAAGGACAGGTCTCTTCTCTAATGAAAAGCATCTTGGTTACCCTACCGCCCCTGCACACATGCCAGTATCAGTCTTTCTTGTTTTGAAATCTTATTTACATTCAAACCAAACTGCCAGCTTATTTGTTCCAACCTCTGTGTTAGGATTCACTATACATCATGGAGTTTGGAGAACTGCTTCATAGGCTCCAAAATAGAGAGAAATGCAATCACTACAAAAAATATGGGACTGTGTCCTCTCTAATAATCTCTTTATAAATCAATAATAAGTAATAAGGGTCACAATAAAGCCAGCTTGCAAGGGCTCTAATTCCCCGGATATGATGCTACTCAATTCACCCATCCCTAGTACATTTCACTTTCAGGCTTCAGAAAAACATACATGCCAGTGCTGCCCATATTGAAAAGCCAGAGGTAGATCTTAGAGGCCTCTTGCACTGAATGGCATGCAGGTGTGAAACACTGGTATCTTGTCCTAACCCCTTCTTGAAAGCTAACGCAGGGCGTTCTTACCATTTTTGCAGACAGGACAACATTGTTCTGGTTCATAGATTGGGTTGACACACTCAGGAACTGCGCAGTCTGCTACAACACAGTGAACTTCATTGCTGGGCTCACAGCGACACCATTCACATGGAGAGGGCTAGGAACAAATCTCAAATTAGCCCTTTTCTCCTATAACTTAATGCTTGCACATTCATATGCTGTCAGAAGACAAGACATTAGTGTTTATATTGACTTTAATTCCATTCACCACATGTATGATCATTCTGCCCACAAAGGCAGGCAACCAAGCCAAGATGAAGCACAGCTCAAGTCTCAGGGAATAATGAGTTGTTCTATGCCACTGACTTACTTTGCAGAAAAGTGTTTGGACAGCAAACCTGCCAGTTGGTCATTTGGTTTCTAGATGCAGTGGATGCTTTAGCTTCCTCTGGGAAAGAAGGTGATATTAGAACCTATGAAACCAATTTTGACATTGGTAATTTTTGCTTTCTAAGAAAGGTGGGTGGCTAGGAAATAAGAAAATGTTAATTACTTATCTTGACCCTTCCTATGAATGCTTGTTCAGGGCAACTTAAGCTTAAGTAGATGTTACAGAAAATTTTATTTTGGATCCAAACATCCGGATTTAGCCTCCTGAAGTAATTTCTGACTACCTTACCCTTGCCTGCCTGCTTTGAGAAGTGGACTAAAATCAATTGACATAAAAAGCTGCCATTTAAGCAAGTGTCAAAAGCTCTAAAATGAATACAGGAAAATAATTAAGGTAATATAAAGCTAAAAAGAATTTTCATCTTTACAGTACTTACCAAGAATGAGTGGATTTTTAGTTTCCTTTTTAGAAAACGTCAGTGACCCTTTCATCCCATTTAGAGTCAAGCTCCATACCTCAAAAATCTTAGGTTTAGACCCCTAGGATGAAATGTCGGCACTCTTAGAAGTCATACACTTTCCATACTTTTCCAACCAAGCTATTCGTTGTCAGGAACTTCTACCTCAAGTATGATGCTGCACTTCTACACCTAAATAGTTATCTAATGAAACCCTCTTTTCCTTCTCTGTGGTTACTGTCGAAAATTCTGATCCATTTCTGGTTCTTTTAGAAGGAATTATCCAAACAATTTGGGTAATCAATGTTCCCTGTCTCAAGTAGTTTGAGTGAGATAGAAACCAGTACATTGATTATTTTAAAAATTCACTTAATCTCCATTTTGTGCTTTAAGAATGATAGCCCAGTCTAATTGTCTTAGTTTTTAGATAAGAGTTAATAGGAGCTATGGTAAAATATTGTTCAGTTTAAATGTGATAGATCAGTTTATCTAAGATAGCACATAAACTCTCAACAAGTTATGTGTAAGCATTGTATTACAATCTACCACAATATCCCATGTTTTGTCAAGAACTTGAACTTTGTTAATTATCACTGTACGAAGAAATTGTATAGTACCAATTTTATTTCTTCCCTAATCCAAGAAAGGAAAATTCATTTATTCTCATCTTGTAGATGACTGAATAGGCTGGCACAGTTTAATAGTTTTTCTAGGTCCTTATAGATAAGCAAAGGGAAGAGTGTGATTGAATTTTGCCCTGTTGTTTGACAACAGGCAGCACTATTCATCATGCCCTCATCTGAGTAGCTGATATCACATGATTATCATACTTGTCCACATACACCAGGTCCAGAAGAAGAACCCCTTCCATTGGGAAAATCAGCTTATGGAGGTTATGTACTTCTCAAGAAATTTATTAATACTTACAGTTAGAAAATTATCATGGAATTTATCAGTGTGAATATGAGTTGCAATATTTAGGAGGGACATTTATCTGGTCATATGGTTTTTATTTTGGGATATTGTGGCATCCTCAAGTTTGAAGACTATAATTATGCTTGGTGGTATCTTATAGAAGAATTGATAGACAAAGACGGAAACCAATAAATGGTGGATATTGTGTGCAGAGATCTACCTTGGAATCCTAAGAAGTACTCTTAGGAATAGCTGAGACTTCAAGTGGTGATGAAAATATATTGGAAACTTTGAAAAAGTATTGAGTAATAAAACAAATTAAGAAGACAAAATTATCTCCATAATTCTCAGTACCTCCTACTCATGCTTGAGCCTGGCTTATATACATTCTACGGTTATCCATTCCCAGCCATAAATCTCTCATAGTCATACTATATTTATTCTTTCAAGTTATCTTTCATTTTTACATATTATTTATTTATTTTACATATCGATCCCAGTTCCCTCTCCATCCCTCCCTCCCTCTCTTCCACCGTCCCATGCCCCCTGACCACCCTCCCATCCCATCCCCCCCCACACTCCACATGTAGGGTGATGCCTTCCTGGAGGGGTCATCTAAATCTGTTAAATCATTTGGAGTAGGGACCAGGCCCTCCCTCCTGCCTCCAGGTCAAGAAAATAGTCACCAAAATACCAAATAACTCTATTAAAAAAACGAGGTACAGAACTGAACAGAGAATTCTCAATAGAGGAAATAAAAAATGCTGAAAGACACTTAAGAAAGTACTCAACATCCTTAGCTGTCAGGGAATTGCAAATCAAAACAACTCTGAGATGCTATCTTACTCCTGTCAAAATGGCTAAAATTAGGAACACCAATGAAAACTTGTACTGAAGAGGATGTGGAGAAAGGGGGACAATGCTATACTGCTGGTGGGAATGTAAACTTGTACAGCCATTTTGGAGATCAGTATGGCGGTTCCTCAGGAAAATGGGGGTCAGTCTACCACGGGACCCAGCAATTCCATTCTTAGGCATATACCTAAATGATCCACATTCATGCAACAAAAACATCTGTTCAACTATGTTTGTGGCATCATTATTTATAATAGCAAGAACCTGGAAGCAACCTAGATGCCCCTCAACTGAAGAATGGATAAAGCTGTGGCTCATTTACACAATGGTATACTACTCTTTGGAAAAAAAAACCAATGGAATCTTGAAATTCTCAAGTTATCTTTCTTTGACAAGTTATTGTGTCATTCAACACCATATCCATCCTCCAGGCTCAGTGTGGCTGGCATGTGTCCTCCAGCCTAGTGTGGCATATCCACACTCCAACTTGCTTTCACTTAGCAAGTTTCCAGACTATGATCCAGTACAGTTTGAGGAGTCCACTTGGACCATCCCCTACCTTTATTTCTTCAAACATTAAACCTCTGGCTCTCAGCATTCATCAAATTCCACCTGCTGACTGACCTCTTAGTGAGGCGCCTTTCTGACCTTGCCCACCTTGCCATGGACATTGCCATTCTCTTGCAGTCTAATGTTTCTTTGGCATTTGCCTTCCTTTGCATTTTTGCACAGATACTTTTTAGATAGTGATAAGTTAGTTGAAGCAACCAATTGGCTACTGTGGTGTTAAGTTCAGATTTTTAAAATCCCTCCCACCTTCTGTGTAAAACTGCAAGGTTTGGTATTTCTGATAAAACTTCCAGTCTTAAGCACCTGGCTACAAATTTCCTTTATTGGATCCTTCAACCTGAAAACTACAGATTAAACCTAAAAATGTTCCCATAAAATCAAAGAATAAAAAATAAACCTGCCTTTGGGGGAACAGAGAATACTGAAATAAGTATATGGCAAAGTATCCCTACAAGTTTTTCTATATTTTTAGAAATAAGAACATGTGGAGTTATTTTTGTCAGGTAGGTATTTGGGAAGGCAGATGATAAAACGATACCATCCTAAAATTTTACTTCTTCAAGGAAATCTCTGAAAATGCTTCACTGCTAAGCAATATTTAAAAAATAATGTAATTCTTGCTACATTTTCATAAAACATTCTTGCAATTGGGATTGAAATAATATTTGTTAATGCACATATTATGTGATATGAGTACTATATGTGTCTTATAAATCTATTACATCTGTACCTTAGTGGTTTGGAATGGCTAATGTAGAATTGTAAGGGGGACTATACAATTCACCTGTAATTCCCACTGTCACCAAATTCATTGCATCTGTGAATAATGCTGTCCCAGTTGGCCCTAGATTACAAATTTCTCTTGTTTATGAACTCATAAATGATAATGTGCATATATTACATAAGTATGATTGGATAAAGAAATCAGTAATTTAAGTGTTGATTTAGGAAGCTACAAGGTATATTTTCTTTCTTAGTAGCATGAGAAGATAAATATGGTTTAAAATGGTTAGCCTCCAAAGATCTTGTAGCAAATATTGAACTGCAAAGTCACCATGATCTGAAAATGTTTAGAGAATAGGGGGAATGGATTGGAATCCCAGGAAGAGTGTCATGAATACTCATGACATTTTAAATTGGGAAAGTAGCCTGGGAACCAGAAATTTAAATTACTGGAATAACAAAATAATTTAGAAAATTGTCAAATATTTTCTTTATGAGAGTGTGGGAACTAATGTTGTCTTCACTGAAAGTCAAGGTAAGATAACAATAATATGGTTTTGCATACTGGCTAGTTAGAACTGTCCACATGTTTATAGAAATGCACAATTGTTTTGCATTCTGAATGCCTGAGCCACATTTTCCCATATCTGAAGAAAGCCTGGATATGAGATATATATGACAATCAAGTCATCAGGAGTTCTGGGTGTCTATTGATGCCATTGTTTCAACTATCCAGGAAGAAATGATCACTGACAATAAATAAGGCTTGTCATACAAATTCCATTCTGAAAGTTACAAGAAGCATACTTTCTGTTATCTGTGTTGTCTGTTGAAAAGCCACCTTTAGTTCATGAAATTATTCTACTGTTTTTTTTTTTTTTTTTTTTTTTTTGTATTTTTCGCTTGTTCTTGCCTATTGCTTTCATAGGTTTTAAGCTGCTTATAATACATTGTTCAGTCCTGAATCCTCAGCACCTAGAAGATGTCTTAGCATGATGATAAATATTTAACAAAATCAACAACAATCTGTGTAGAATCTGTGTTTTCTTATATGCTGAGCCACACCTCTAGCAGCTTTATCTCTACTCATCATGTGCAGAAAGGATTTTCATTCAATGGGATATTGTTATTTTATTTAAGTATTATAAAGCACACTTTGAAGAGACAGACTTCTAACTATGAGTCATGAAATAACTCTTAGGGTTCCAATATTATGTTGGTGAACATAAACTCACTCTGTAAAGGT